TAAGTCTAGGTCAAGTGATTTATACACAGGGACACGTCCATACATACACTCGCCGTCTCTTCTACAGACATATATATAAAGGCATGCTCAAACGCACATCTGCCATGCAACTGCCCAATGCAAACTATGAAAACCTGTTACTGTACTCACAAGGGCTGTAATGGGAGTCTTGTTTAAAGTACAGAGGAATCTGGTCAAAGTCTAGCGGAGGTCACTTTTTGAGGAAATGCAGAGCCTTAGGGAGTGAGTGCTAGCAGTTCTCCTCCTCCCCACTGCTCTTCAGAGAGGAGGAGGAGGAGGTGGTACAGTGTGAATTGCACGGAAACACTTATACTCACGCATTTAACACATGCATGCATGCAGTGGGGAAGCCGAGAGTTGTGCACGAACATGGGAAGATGAAGTGCTAAATGTGTTGACTGTACTTGACCGTAATCTCTGGATGAGAATCAAGGAGATGCAGTGTGTCTCCCGAAGGCTTACTTGTAACATGTCTGTAGAGCCCCTGGTAATACTTGAGCATTACAATATTACAGAGGTGGACATCTCTTGAGTCAATTGGTTTTATTCTCAAGGCCACGGCAATATGAAATACACACAGAACCACTGTACCTCCATGATTGAAGAATTGATGCAAGATTCAGTCAATAAAAGGGGGTAGACCTGTGTCATAATTCACATATGAATCTTATAAAGTAAAATAACAGCACAGGATGTAAGCGCTATGGCCTAACTGTGGGTTAAAGGGGTTTCTAAAATAGCCAAATAATGTCCTTTCCATCACACAAACAGACAAGCGGTATGGCAGGAGTATTGGCTGTCTGTCGAAGTCACATCACGGCAGGGAGATGGACTGTTCTCTCTGATATTGTCTACTGTCTGGAGTTTGAAAAATACATCTGACAGTTGCTCGTTTTAGCCATTGTCGTCAGAACCCCCTGTTGTACATCATCAGACTTCAACGATATTGACTTCTGTTGAAGAGATTAGCTGTCAAGCTTTTATTTTGTTAAGGGATCAAGGTCCTCCGTGTTCTTACCTAAATATAACTTTACTCCGCTGCACGTTTGAAATTGCTGGTGCAGGTGGTATTTCATTTATGAGCGTGCTCGAGACCCAGAATGCCTCGGCTTGACCGCTGAGCTCTGGAGGGATTATCTGATGAATTCTTGTTTTACAGCAGCTGTTAGTGAGAAGTCACCGGGGGTCTAAAAGTGGATGCGAAAGCCCTCCACCAATTGTGCCTTGTGGTCACTTTCATTTTTTCCTGGTCTGATAACTTGCCATTATCCCATATATTTTAAAACTTCACATTGCCTGCCAGATATAACCGAACATGTTGAAGGTTTTGATTTAAATGCATTGGAAGAGAAACCGGTGATAGGGGTCATATCAGACTACACCCCAAATTAAATGTCCTTAACCCTGTCTCCACGAGCATCGAGTTAATCTTGATCTTCTCCAAGAAAACTATGCAGCACCTCTTAGGTCAGTGGACATTTTGATTTACGGGACAGAAAGGGCCAGGATTGACAACCCGATAATGCCCACTCAGATTCTTGGAACGCCATTGCCATTCATAAGAGGCCAGCAGACCAAGACTAAATGAGACCAGGATGGAAATGTCCCTTGCGTGCACAACCTTTTACGAGAGGGTCATTCTCAGAACTGTGAACTCTATCTCACAGCCTCTGACCACCACCATTGCTGGCTTAGGGCAGAATCCCACTAGCAATACCAACCCTCCCCCCACCACACTGTAAATCAAACTGCTATCTAAAGCAGCGGGACTCATCCTTACAGCGCTGGACAGTGACATATGGGAAATCCCCAGTGTTGTAATATACAACTGGAGATCCAACTAGACCATAAAGGTCACAGGCCACTCTGTGCAGACTGCGTTTGGATTTGTGTTTCATGGTGTGCAGGCACAGAGGAAGCCGAGCATCAAGCCCCCTCAAGCAAACCAAGCCTTGTTGACAGAGTTAAATAATTGAAAACTAATCTGCTCTGTAAATGAATGTTGGGTTTAAGAAGGAATAAGCCCAAGTACATCAGAAATCCTGCTTCTGGTCATGCCTCTGAAATTGTTTAACCTGTGAATGAAGTGTGTTTAGAGCCCATAATCCAAGATGAATCAAAGTAATAACTGGTCTTTGCTACAAGTGAATAAAGGCTTTCTGGCTCATCGGTATTAGATGTGTATTATATAGAGATTTAAGCATTTATACGTTGCATTCAAAGGTTCATATTGTAAAATATATGGGCAAATGCAGAGGTACACAAACTGTTCTTTCAAAGAAATGAAAACCTATTTACTGTATCTCTTATATTTTGTGTCGGGACACTATTTTGGTGTTCAAGGCATTTCTGTGTGGCTGGCTTTTTACTGTTTTGGCTGTACATATACTGGTGTACCTCCAGACTACTTTATTATTTGTATTAATGGTCACCATTGTCACAAAAAATTGCCAAAAGTATGATTTTTTAAATTCCTTTTTTAAATTGGCAATGGCCATTGAATTCACAGTGTAACTCAAGCCGTGTGACCCTTGAGCCTTTGCATGTGTAAGTGTCTGGTAAATACTTTCTTTTAAATAATCATGACAAAATAAGTATTTTTTCAGAAATTCCCAACCATTAAAAATACATTATTGTGAAAACACACTTTTAAAATGTAGTTTAGCTGAAAAGGTCACACTGCCCTCACTACTCCAGTTACCTCATCCCTAGACATCTCACATTATTATTCAATCCTGTGATGTTATGAGATATGATTTTATCATTTGTGTCAATCACAGACCATTATAGGCTTTCCAGAGGCCTCTCCATGCTGGTGCACTTTATCTGGATTCCAGAAAAGTCTTTGTAGATGTGATTTTCAGCTTTCAGCAGTGATGTGTCTGCAGCAGCTGGCCTCTGTACTGTGCCTGGCATTTCACATGCAAACTACCTTCTTTGACACTTTACACACACACACACACACACACACACACACACACACACACACACACACACACACACACACACACACACACACACACACCCTCCCCCAGACAAGCCTCTCCTGAGTAATGAGACATAGCTGGGCCTATGTTCAACGTCCCGTCACTTAATGTGACATGAATCTCCCTTGCTATATGTGATCGATCTATTTATTACCCTGTTTATGTAAAGCCAAGCAAAGTCTGCTGACGCAGGATTTCTGAAGCCTGAAATATCAATGGCCATCACTCACTTTTTATTGCTTTTTTCTTGTCCTTTCTGGTCTTGTGGCATTTGTTTTGTTGTGTATTGGGGGAAAGGATATAAGATATGGAACAACCCTGCAGAATATCCACAGCTGGCCCACTGCACATCTATTGAATGTGTGGTAATTGCCAATAGCCAAGTCTCAACTGCAGCAAGCGTTCAAATCAGGTCGGGGTGATGTTTTGACACATTTTGAATTACATATTGTACATGTTGATAAAAGCCACATGGCAAGAATATATAAATAGTATGAAACATTTATTCTGAAGAATCTGTACAACATCTTTCTGCCGATGACAGAGGTTTAGTCTGGAGATGGTGTTGATTGTCAGCAGCTGACATGTCCATTATTTCAGCAAGAAGACATTTTTCCACAGGTTAGCCAAACCTGATCAGGGCAAGGTTTTTGGCATTCACTGGTACAACGTTATACGCTATTTATTTTGTTAGGAAATTGTGGATTATTTTCACTTGCTCCTTATTATGTTCTGTTCATATGTTCTTGTTGTAAGGGTATGGAGAGATTTTCATTGTGCTGTAAGTTAACTACAATGCATTCAAAGAACATTTTCTGCCATGTTTTCTGCATGCTTGGTCCAAAGCGGCACACATCCCTGCAGTGTGCACCACTCCTGTGAGTGCCAGTGTTTTTGCATTGCTATCGTGCAGTTGCCAGGCCTTGCTAAGAGGGCTTCTCGGGGCAATCCCAGTTACAAGCTCTGGTGTTAACCCGCTGGAGGACTCTTATCAGCTGCATGTCATGTTCACATTTCCCTGCACTTCCGCCAACTCCCTCTCCGTCATCTCAAACACTCTCCTAAGCTCCACCTTTCAAGGCCACTTTTATCTGAAGCGCTAAAGTGGCAAACATATTTGTCCGGAGCTTTTCCACAGTCTCAGGAGTTAGAAAGTGGATGAGGGAACTTCATAGTTACACAGACCAGGACTCAGAGTCCACATGGAGCCCCAAGTTTCCAGTGTATCCATGGGGCCCTCTGTGCTGATGCCCCAGTTACTTTAGAGGACCAGATAGATAGGTTTATCATGTTTGGATTAAAGAGCCATACAGTTCTCTCAAAAATATGTTTCATGACACATTTTTAGATGGATTGAGATTCTACCGATTTGATTGCCATCGCTTTTCATAATCTGTTACAATAACCATTAGAAATCAAACTTTCAGCATTATGAAACCTGCTTGAGATAGATAATCTCTCTCAGTTAAAACTGAATCAACTTTTATATATATATATGTATATATATATATTGCAACAGTTATTTTACAGTTGCATGATTGCAGTTGCTTGCAGTATTGTGAAAATGTTGTTTGTTTGTTTGTTCCTTTTAGATTTTGAGAAACCTTGTTTTTTGCAATCCTTCCTAAACATAACATTTTGTATTCTTTTTTACACACAAGAAATCATTGTATTAATTCAAAATATGCCTCTTGTGTTTGTATCACCTCGAAATCTACTGATAAGGCTTGATGGACACGGACAAAGTGGGCTTTTAAATCCCAAACCCCCACCCACCATGACTCTCCTCATTACTGGGAACAATGAAAGAGAAGGATGGAAAAAAACAAGCGGTTAAAGTTGTATTGCTTGTGTTGTCAAGTCCAGTCATTTCTTGAAACTTTAGTTTTCATTGAGGGGGGAGTTGGCTTACCTCGCCTCCCTTTGCCTTTGAGTCCTGTCAGGCCTTTTCTGTTCTTCCTGTGGATTTTGGGTCACTGTCAGAGAAACTGAGGGAGGCTGTGAGGGAAATTTAAATGTGGCTTTCCAAAGGCTGCATGAGAGAGAATATTGAGTGGCTGGTTTTCATTTGGGGAAATACAGAATTTGTGTCCAAATTACTGGAGTTCAGGCCATCAACTGATCATATGTAAGTATATTTCTTTCTGTATTCATATTTACTCTATCATTTAATGTTAATATGTGTGTTTTCTCTCCGAGTTGTTACATTTCAATGTGTTTTCATGGGATAAGAAGTAGGTTTTATTTGTATGTTAAGATATTTGTACTCAATATATGATTTCATGAGGTGTAATGGTCTAGTTTTCCCAAATTATTTATATTTAAGTAAAACTCCTTTTTGTCGCTCTCCATTGTAATGACACCTATATTCGCACCTTTTTCCTTCCTTGGGGATTAGGAGCTGTCAATGGGCCCCTCTGCTCCACACACACACACACACACACTCATACCCTGCACACACTGCAGTAGCTGCTCAAATCTCTAGTTCTTAGGGCACTGTGTATGATAGTGACTGGGCGAGCTTGGGGCTTGATTAGTGCAGTTAGCCCTTCTAAGGCTCTGGCTGTTTACAGTGGATTACAGGGAGGGAGGCAGGGGTTAAGTCTACCCATGCCTCCCCCACCTCCTTCCATCCTCCCCCCACAGGAGCCACTGCAGCGGGGCTGGCAGCTCGTCTGGGCTCCCCATCGCAAGGCCAGGCTGACAGGTAGCGGGATTTGGCAGAGCAGTTTGCATGAGAGCCAACAAGAAAAACTGAACATGGCGGATTAGTTTGGGATTATGTTGTCAGAGTTAGCCTTGACGGACAAACTGCAGAGGAATAAATTGCAATCTGTTTGAGGAGCGCGCTGCCACGCAAACAGGAGAGGCATCGGCTCGTCTCACAGCCTGTCCAAAATGACAGGGAGGGGAGAAAATCATTAATAATTTATAAACAAAGTCCACGGCCATTACTGATGTCTGCCCACTCTGGCTGGACGAGATGTCTGGTTGTCTAACCCCTAACATCAGGGGCTGGTTCATGTTACATTTTAAAACCAAAAGTGACATGGCATGTATAAAGATAAGAGAAGGTTTCATGGGAAGGGCTCGTAAAAAGTAGCAGCTACTTCTGTGATTTAAAGGCTATCGACCCATCTCTGATAATGCAGTGAGTTAGGAGCAGGCAGGAAGGTCTACATCTATAGATGTCATAGGTAGCCTATAAGCTACCTATGGCATTTTTTGAATTGCAAATGTATTTTCATCAGCTCTGAGGTGGCAAATTGCCACCTCAGAGTAAGGTTTTAGTAAAGCCCTGGAAGTGGCTTTAGTGGCTTTTATGAAGCCTTGAGACTAATAAACAAAGCCCAGTGTTTAGGTTGGGTTCTTTATTTCAGAGAGCACTCTGCTGAGCTTTTTGCCAATGTAAATCTCAAAGTTTCTAGGCAGCTCATTGCTTCTGTGTGGGGCTGGTTTTGGTCCTATTTAACCATGTTTTGACATGATCGAGTTCATTTGGTGCATGCTCAATTGTCAAAGGTCAGCTGAAGTATAATCTTCTGCAGAATTGTTACAAATGTATTGTTTTATGTTGTACATTAAAGACTATAGTATATTATATATCCAGCAATCATAACATATTTCATCCCACTTCAAATTTACCGTGATGCTAATAAGCAATAGTATCATCAAAATAATGGTGTTATTTCACGTATTTGGCTGCACATTCATGAAAACATTCAAAACTTGATTCTCGCTCTCTAAATCTTTCTAAAACAAGATTTAAATCATGTACAAATTAAGAGGATCAATCTCCCTGATTCAACAGAATACATCTCGTTCATCATTGGAAAGGGTGACTGTTAATTTCTCATGTAAAGAGTTAAGAACAAAAACCTTCAAAGTTAAGTAATAGTTTTATGATTGAGAAACTCACCCTACATCCAGGAGAAATTATAATTAAAAAAGAACAAATTTACCACTGAAAGACTAAACCCAATCTAATTTCTCTCTGTTTTCATCTCACATCTGAGTCGTTCTTTATTGGAGAACTGAATGAGCTCGGTTTGATGCAGCGTTGTCATGCTGGGGACTGACTGGCATGGTAAAAAGTATTAATGAGCTTTATTGCATTCTGTCCTCTCCTACATCATTAGGAATGCATGTCTGTATGTTAAACATATGAATATGCATCGGCATAGAGCATTTGCTCTCAGAGTTAGCAGTGAGCCAGCGCTGTGCCTTGAATAATAATCGAGCAGAGAAATGAACTGCATTTTCTTTGCCTCTGCCTTGTAATTGAAAAAAGATAATAAGAACACATTTTGTTCTTCTAATTTTATCACGAAACTGATTGTGAATGTCAAATTAAGGGAACTTATTGTATACACGGTTATATTTGCTTATATGATAAAAACATCTTCAGTGTTACATTTGTATGTGTGATTTGTGCTCACAGTACTGTATCTTGTAATACATCAGCAAATGCAGACAGAATTATGCAGGGATCGTGTTAATTAAAAAACATAAGTTGGTGGGCAAATCCAGTGCAGTGTTCCCCGTCACACTGTCAGACTGAGGGTGATCCTGAGGGCAGCAGAGGTCACTGGATAAAGGTTAACAAATTACCCACAATGCCTCTCACACCTGATTGATGTTGGGTGGGGGAGGGGATTGTTTACAGGGGGTAAGATCACGATAAGGTAAAAAAGTCTGTACAAATAAATGTTATTTACAGCAAATAGAACACAAACATTTGACTGAATTTAATGCCAGATGTTTCTTGTGGTTGTGAGTACAAATGTTATGCACTTTGGCCACTTCAACACAGCTGTCTGATCCAAAAGAAACTCCACACTAAAATTAAGCAGACTTTTGTATGTGAAAAAGGCGTGTGTCGGTCACATTAAGTTAATTAGACAGACTGTTTTGAATAAGGATGGAAGTATCATAAAGAAAGATGTTGGACGTGTTTTTTTAAGTCAAGTACAGAAATGTAATGTCATTGTGGATTTTATTGGATATTTTATTATCTATAATTTTATTGAATGATGATTTTATGTTTAATTTAGCAACAGGACACTGCTATCTTCTATAAAACTGTGTTTTGTGTTGAAAACGCTCTTATGCAAATGACAAGCCAGGACCCAGCTCTGCCTGATTTGAAGAAAGAAGCATTTCATTGAGCCACTGCATGTTTTCTCTCTTCTCCCCTCAGTGTTACTGTGTGTGCTCTCACTGCACTGAGCAGGACCTGCTATTCATTCAACACACAAGTCGCCAGCGAAAACAGCCGGCGCTCCTCAAGAAAAAAGGCACTATCTGCACACATCAGGCAGCGTGTTATAAGAAAGGGTGACATGGAACAGTCAGGGAGGCTCCTGGTTTACTGACAGGACAATTAGAGGAAGCAAATCTGAGCTGAATATTCCAGATAGGGTGGGCATGCAGCAGTGTGACGGACCCTCCAGGGGCACGATGGGGGGGTGTACATGCTGATTGGTTTATCTGGTTGAAGGTGAGAAACATAGATGGGTCTGACTTCTAACATTAAAAAAAAGTATGAAGTTAAAGTGAAAGTTCTATTTCAAATAAAAGGGAATTAACCTACTGCAATTACTATATATCCTTTGGATCAACCCATCAAGTTTTAGAAAAACATGAAGATGAGTTCTGGGAACCAAAATAGTTTCCAGGATAGATAGAAAGCATTTTGGAAAAATAACCCCGGGAGGCCAGCTCATCTTCTCTTAATCCCCTTTGTAAATAAATGAATCAGATGTCCGTACATGCAACTTCTGACCTGTGGTGACTTCACTCAGTGGAAATTACAGTTTCCATCTTCTCTTTGATTTCCAAATGGTATTATCTTTTCATCCAGGGGAGGGAGAGTAAACAGAAGCAGTGGAGAGTCATATGTCTCTTTAAATAAACTGCATTGTCTGATGATGTTTTAATAGGCAGACCCCGATCCCCTGGGCCGTGAGTCCGTGACCCTTCTGAGTGCGCTTCAACTATGTACAGGGTGCTGAGATATAATTGCTATGTACATATAGGCTATTCTCTGGTTTCTACACTGCAAGAAATGTCCAACTGAACGTTTTCTGAGAAATAACTAGTTAGTACATATATCATTGGTGTTTGTTTTAGGTTGTGTGCGCACATAATGAATTTAAATGTACGTTATGTTTCTGCTGGGACAGCGCGACAAAAGTTATCCCTAATAGACACACGGGCAGTCATCTAACTGGGAATCTGACGTTGTAAAGCATTTGTATAAGGACTCCCATGAATCTGCAGTTAGTATTTGTCATGATTGGAATCACAGATTAACATATTGAGTGCTAATGTAAGGGGGGTTACCTCTTGCTTTGAGTTACGAGAGTAAATAAGGCAGCTCGGTAGCAAGAACCCTCATTGTACAATGCGGGAACCACACAGCAATGAGAAAAAAGCTGATAATGAGTAGGCAGGTTTGAAGTAAACTGAGTAAAAGATTAAAAGGTAGGCCTACTGTATGTCAAGTTGGAATCAGTGCTAACCTTAGCAAGCTAGGCTAGCCACTATTGTCTAAGTGAAATACAAACTTAGCAGCTTGATTTGTCATCTCAACATTGAATGATGTAAAGTGACAGATGTCTTACAATTTATGATATATAACCAACATTGCAGGCTTGTTGAATGGATAACAAACGTCTCGTATTAACATTGTAGGATGTAGGCTACAACGCTACATGCTCCAGTTTGTTAGCGCATCATGGTACATCGACAATGTGTTTCCTAGCAACGTTGGCCTTCAAATGTCAGACAACCATTGCCATGGTAAAGCTCCCCTTAAAGCCTTATGTGCTTTATTCATAAATACATCTTAAAGGGTTTGATTCTCATAAAAGGTTTACGAATACACAAAGGATGACATATTGTCGATAATATTGAATACACATTTCAGTCCGAGTTCATTATGCTACTTGTTGAAGTGGATATTTTTTACAGTGGGCGTCTGTGTATAGTGTTCTTCCCACCTTATTCCCACATGGGGGTCCTTTTCCAGTCAAAACAGAGTGGGTGTGCACAGAACAGACAAAGTGGTTAGTTTTCACCAGAGGCCCCGACTCTGAGCTTCAGTCATGTTTCTGTGGGGGAAAAAACTGAGATATATGCAAGAACAGTGGGACCACAAAGAGAAAAATAAATGTAAAAGGAGGAAAAAAGAACAGAGGATGTTATCAGATTGAAGGATTGAGCAGGAGAGAAAAGAAACAAGAAAAGTAACTGAACCCAATATGAGCACGACTCCCCCGTTTTCCGTTTCCAAGCTGAAACTAATGAATTTTTGCGGGAAGAGGAAATGCTTTGGGAATAGGTAAAAATGTCATCAAACACCGGATGTGTGCACTTGATTACTGATTCAGACCAAAGCTAACTTTGGTAAGACAATATTACAAGAGGGCTCAAGGAAATGGCTAATGAGCAGCTAAGCTAACTTCATCTTGCTCCAGAGCATACAGTCATCTGATTTTCTAGGCATCGAATCCTAATTGGATTGTGGAGAAGTGAAGAGGACAAAGAACATTTATCTTTCCCAATTATCAGGAATTCATATCTTGGGCAAATTTGCTAGCTTGCATTACAATTTGATAGAATTAACTATTGATGAGCAGCAGAAACCAATATAATTTCAATCTTCAGACCCTTAACAGTCAATAGATTATTCTGATTTTGGATAGTAGAGAATGCTTTAAAAGTATTTTTGCGATTTTATTAACCATATTTTTGGTCATCTTTAATTGTACTGACTCACTCTCTTTCCCTCTTCCCACCTGTTTTACATTATGTAGTGAACAGGAAGCAAAGCAGTGACATGCTCGACAGGCTTGAATCATGCACGAGACGAAAGTAAGGGCGCGGCCTGATGAAGATGTAAAGTAATATCCCTGCAGCTCACAAGGTCAGTCATCCCCCTTTTACAGGCAACATGAAAGAGGTTTGAGGTTCGAGAGCTGGTCACGAGACAGGGCTGAGTCCTTTCCGTCTCAATAAGGGTTCATCAGTTCAGATCATGTAACAGGGCGAGGCGGCTGCTGCAGGACAAGTCTAATATTCTGATGTAATTAGATAATATTGCATTAATTCAGTGACATTTACAGAAACTTTCAGGAGTGGGAGTTATATGATTACTGCCATGGGAAATATCACAATTCCCTAAGGTCAGCTTTCACCGGAATTAAAAGCTTGATTTAAAATGACAACCCTGCATTTTCTTTAAATTGTCAAAGGCGTCTCAAACGAGTTTAAAGTAATAAAACAATAAGGTCATATTATTTTTCTGCCCTGTAAACATAAATCCTGAGATTGGTGTTATGCATCTTATTGTATGATACACAAGTAATAAATGCTACTATGTGTTATAAAATGCATTTTGTACCAGCTTTTTTTGTTTCTTTTGCAGGTAATGGCAGTAATGCGTGTCTGTTTTTGACGTTTTTTCACAGGTTAGGGGTGCCAATTAACCCCAGATGGTAGGAGTAGCCCACACGAGAGGTGACGTGAGGTGATTCGCCATAACTTTGGTATTAGTCTCATAATGCAAGCTGACGGTGGGGATTTCAGAAGCAGGGAGGAGGGGGAGTGAGGGGTCCGGAGGGTTCGTGTTCAGGCCTCTTCTGTGAATCATGCAGCCTAGCGTGCGATCGGCACACTGCCCTCCTCTTGACTCCCTCATAAGCTCTGTTACAATAACACACTTGCCTTCTTTCACTCCGGCCCTCACCCCGAACCTCCCCTCTCCAAAAATCCCCCCACCCACCAGCACCAACACTCTCTGGAAAACACAGGAAGAAAAAAAAAGAAAACAGTGACAGTTTTCTGAAAGATAAAAGATTGAGGGAATGTATTTAGTCTATTGGCTATCTGTAAAATGTCCAGCATAACTGTGAAGACAAAAAAGATCGATGTTATTTGTATTATTATTATTATTATTCCCCCCCCCCCTTTAATTAATTTCTCCCCGGAGCTCCAGAAGCAAATAAGGAGCAGACATCGACGGTTTCTACTCTACTCCTCATCCTCAACACTGAAGCCTGAATACAGTGCAAGTCAAGGTTAACAGTGCCATCTACAGTAGAGAGGGAACCAGTCCATCCTGTGTCTTGCTGTCTGAGAGGTACAGATAGGGATATATCTGATCAGCCAACCTGTAGTTATTAGGGAGCGTACAGTAAAAGCAGGCCTCTTTTTAGCAAATGTTTTAGGGTACTGCTAACAAATATTCACCAACAGCAGTTGTGTGAAATTGTAGAAAAAATGTAATGCAACGTTTGATATAGATGTAGAACCAAGTTGTAATAGATGTAGAGTCATGTAGATATAGATTCTGAAAATAAATAAGGAAGCACAATATAATTTAATGATGATACAAATGTAAAATATTGCAGGATTGCTAAATGAAAAAATCCCTTGAGTGTTGCTAACAGCTTGATAAAACACAGCATTGATAATAATAAAGTAAAGAGGAAAAACAAAAAGGATACTGTGCATGAATGTTTTGAAATGTGATCAGTGACAAAATGGCTTTGCTCAATGTATATCCTATTCCTATTTCAACCATGCATACATGCCAGCACCCGTGATAACGTTACTAAAATAAAGGTGAAAGTGCAATGGCAGGTCGTGTTGTGGCAAGATTCCCAGGATAAGCAAGCTTTATTGGCAAATATCGAATATCAAACTTCAATTGTTATTTTATTAATACACTATATCGCAAATATTTCAATCTACAGGTCTGACTTACACCTCGATGGATAATATGAGAAGGTCATTAATTTAAGGGTCCTTTTCCAGTCTATAAGATCACACACATCCCAAGAGAGTTTCAGTATGACACTGCACTCGGAAATTAAGCTGATTCAAATAGTTGTAATACCCCTACTTAAAAATATCTAAAACTATACAAAGAAATCCATTCTTACTTTATTTCCTCAGTGTGATTATTATTAGAGGATTCCTAAACAGTTGTTTATCCATCAAAGCATGAACAAGGCTAAGTGAGTGACATGGACTAATTCTCAGTTTACTAATTTAGCTCATCAATGTCAGAGACTATACACAGGGATTCAGAGATTTACCCGTTTGCCTTTCAAGGGAGAGAGAAAAAAAAGGCTACAGACGGACCATTACTGTTTATCCTCAGCCTTATCACTAGTGGCGATGGGCTTGTAAATATTATCCTATTTTCCTTAATCCACTGCACAACGCCGTGCTCACCCACTTACCGGAAGCTCCGACATTTACCTTCGGGATTTGCTGGGGCTTGGGCTAGAGTGGCTGCGAGTGGGAAAGTGCTAATCTACAAGGCAGATTCAGGATTAGTGCGGTGAGCCAGGTGACCCAGGGGCCCGAGATCCTATTGGCCGGAGGAGATGTAGGCCTGTGGTCCTTGGCAGGGGGTGACAGACGAGAGGAAACTAGCTAAGTAAGGGGAGGGGGGTTCTCCCCAACTCTGCTTTCTAGTTGTTTCTCCCATTCTCCTTTTTTTATGTCTTTATCCCCCCTTTCTCTCTTCCACTCTCTCTCTCACTCTCTCTGAAGGAGCCCTGATGAGAATTCCACTAATCAGCTGAGGATTAACAGGGACTCAGATAACACTACATCTAATTCCCCCTTCACAGCCACTGGGGCAACCAGAGGGCCCCACGCAGCACTGCAGCACACTGAACATATCACTGTGCATGTGTATGTGAATACTTCTATTGTGTTATAAGGAATCATTTCACCTGTTGATTTAGACATTATGAGTCTTTACTATGAGTCAAATGTACTAATTTAGTTCTTCCTTTGTGCTAACTCATATGCTAGTATATGTTTTCCCAAGTAAATGTAAGTACTGCCTCGATTGTAATCAAGGGCAACATGGGGCGGTGGTGGCGAAGTCGATAGGGACTTGGCTTGGCAAATGGAAGGTCACCAGTTCAAGTCCCGGCAAGACCAAGTGCTACTGAGGTGTCCCTGAGCAAGGCACCGTTCCCCACACTGCTCCCCGGGCGCCTTTCAAAATGGCAGCACACTGCTCCTAACACTAGGATGGGTCAAATGCAGAGAAACAATTTCCCCACGGGGATTAATAAATCATATCATCATCATATCATCATCATATCATGTTGCTATGTTTTTGTATTAGTCTAAAATAGTAGGGCAATAAAAAAAACGTTGCGTACAAGCAGGAGATCTGGTTTTGAATTCGGAATCCTGAGCGTTTAGGCATCATAGCTCTTTGATAAGTCTGGGAAACTTTCGTTTTTTCAGTTATGCCATAAAAGTAATTCACTAAAAACATTATTATCAACTGCTTTGATGATTGAAATTGAAATTTTTCCGTCAAAACTTGCATATTTTGGGATCGGAAATGACTGCCTTTCTCTGTTGGATTTCTCATTAAACTGAATAACAAACGAGAATAAATTTAAAGACATCACCTCTTTGAGACTTTGAGAAGCTTAGTTGTACATTTTTTTAATACTTTCTGAATTTATAGACTAACTTTTAATCCAATAATAAAATATGAATTTGAAGATTAATTGATAATGAAAATGTTCATTACTTGCAGCCCTATTTCAGTTACATGTTTATAAAGCAAACATGTCCAAGCTTTTTCTCACAGTCACAGTTGACTTTATGAATATTTACCAACATGCAATATTACCCTAACCTCGTCAAAGCTCTATGTTTAAACATGATCATAAAATATGTTACTGTTTATTTAGTTATAATAGGAGCTTGTGAAGTATACATTCATTGTATTGTAATGTATATACTAACCAATGTATCCAAAATAAAAAAATCTTTAATTGGACCGCTAAAGAAGTTTAAGTGACTGAGCAGTTCTTTGTGTAAATGGGTGCAGGGATATAGCACAATGCTCAAAGACTACTTCCAAAGATGAACATTGAATGACGCATCTTGGGTCAAACACTATTGGCTGTTCAAACGCAGCAGAGCTTATTGTTTAGGCCTTAATGTTTTCCTATGGTTCTGTCCGAGATGAGCTTTGTGTGTATGGTGAGGTCAGCTTGTGTTTTTTTTAGAGTGACACTGGTTTCATGAACTCATTCATTTTAATACCAAGGCTCGTCACCAGCCAGGTCATGCTGGGCCACCCACAAAGCAAAGAATATCTGAACATCAAGAGTGTGCAGTTTCACACCATCAGAGGTGGGAATGTGATATTTTACAGTCAGTATGTCTGCATCTGCTTTATATTAATGCATCAAACTGTGCATTTTGCCTGATGCACATCACAATAATATATTAGAAGCATCAAGGGTAAGTGGGTTGCATTTCCAGCCTGGTTAAGTACATTTTGGCAGCAGTCCCGTGCTATCTCGGAGACATTGTTGGCTTCCCAGCCTCCCACAGTTTCACAGTAATGAAGGAGCTGTCTTACCCAAACAAACAGGCTCTCTAGAGATGTACCTCAACTACCTCCTTAATCCAGGAAGTCTCTCTTATCTCTGCACAAATGGCCCCGTTGTGAGGCACCAAACACTGCAATGTCATTCATCAGTTAAACCCCAGGGCAATGAGAAAGGTACGATTGCTCCACGTTGGGAAAGTGAAAAGTGACAGCAAGTGCTCTGGAGGCGTAAATCAGAGCTCCGAGCTCAGGTTTTTGTCGATCAGACGTCTATCTATGTGTCACCTTGCTGAATCCACAAAGAATGATGTGCTAGTGTTTTTCATTGGCAGATATCAATACCTCTATTACCCAAGTCCCCCTGGTGTGATGGTGTTGTTGTGTTGGTCATTGAGGATTTTAAGATTACTCTACTGCAGCATTCTTCATTAATCTTCCAAGACAAGAATCAGTTCAAACATTTTACAAGCATGCTTTTCACAGAACAACATTGTATCTATTACCCAACAAATACCTCATTTGTATATGCTTGTACTTATTTTGGCAAGCAAATGTAATTCTCTTTTTATGTTTCTAATGTAAATGTATTTTGATTTGGCTGGAATCTATTTCCATGAATACATTTTTTGAGTTGGTACCTTCAAAATGTTTGATGATGTCTGATGTCTGATGTCTGATGTCTGATGTCCGAGGAGATGGCAGTTCCTGAAGGTGTTGACAAGAAGACATGGGGTGAGGGGGGGAGAGAAAAGTAATTTGTGGAGGAGTTGTGACACTCGGCGCCGCTCATTAGACGACATCTTAGGGAGCTAAAAGCTTTGCCTCTCTCGCTGAACACTCCCACACAAATCTGACTGCTCCATATCAGACACACCGCTGTCAGGTGGAACCCAGGAAACTACTAAAGACAAAATATGCTTTATTATACAGATATTTTTAAAGATTATGCTATAGGGTTTTAAGAAATAGGAAAACAGAGTTAACACATTTCATCGTAGTCTCACACACACACACACACTCAGTCCAATTCAATTTCTTCAATGCTGCAGCAGTATTTTGTAATATATCATTTCATATTCTATGATCATATAATATAATGTCCAAATATGACAACTAAACAAATTCATTTTCTTCTTTTTAATATTTGCACTCCTAATAGTTTTAATAAAAGTCTCTGAGTTATGTGTGTGTGTGTGTGTGTGTGTGTGTGTGTGTGTGTGTGTGTGTGTGTGTGTGTGTGTGTGTGTGTGTGTGTGTGTGTGTGTGTGTGTGTGTGTGTGTGTGTGTGTGTATGTGTGTGTGTGTGTGTGTGTGTGTGTGTGTGTGTGTGTGTGTGTGTGTGTGTGTGTGTGTGTGTGTGTGTGTGTGTGTGTGTGTGTGTGTGTGTGTGTGTGTGTTAAATAGCCGAGCAGTTTCCCATTACTATCAGTTACTCTGAGGCAGGTTTTGAGCCAGTTGCTAAGAGCTTTCATCCAACAGTGTTGATCGTTAATACTGATCTGTACATTTTTTCCAGCTAAAGCTCTTATAAAGAGCTAAGTCCATAAGACTGTGTTTGCGAGTTTAGTGAGGACGCCAACAAGGCAACAAGGAGCTGGAGAGAATTGGAAACCGAGCGCGCAGCCGGTTCAGAAAGCTGAAAACAGCTGTGTTTTTACAACCACTGAAACACAACGCTCGAAAGGTTTTTTTTTTCATGGGCTACCCATACTGCACCTGCCATTTCCATCACAGCCATGTGGTCACAAAGGGAGCAGTATATCTGTCAACAGGATCAAGTGCTCAATAGACCCCGCAAGCCACTCAATCCTTCAAGACAACCCCTCCACTGGCCTCAACAAAGCCCCAAAACCCCACAACCTGGCCATCTCAGCCCAATTGACTCAGGATATCCTCCTGTTTTCTGTAAGAAAGACGCTTCCTTCACCTGTCCAAACTGTCTAAACTACCTGGGGAGCACTGTGTTACCAATACAGAGGCCATTAAGTAGCTGTTCTCCAAAGTTGACATCCAAGTCTGTTTTTAAACTTGACACTGAGACATTTATTTTGGAAAAACGTCCATATAAACATCCTGCTGCACTGAGCTGTTTTGCAAGAAATGTGCAGGTTGGAGCAAACCTGTCCCTGTCTGGTTTGTTTGCCGTTTCGGATTAAATGTCAAACTCAACACGTCTTGACAACAATAGTTACAAGTGTCATTTCACAGAGGAGGGAAACGGCAAATAAAGTGCTCACTGTCCCTCATAAAGAAGCCTGTCATCGTGGCTCTAAACTGGTATGATCCTCAGGTCCGACACAAGTGTAAGTATGGGGGTAGACAACCTCCGAAGTAAGAAACCAAAAGAAGAGGGAAGAAAATTGAGAGACTGGCTTGACTTGCTGGGGATTAAGGAGGGGTCACAGTGGATCAGCTGGGTCTTCCTCTCCCACAGAGAAGGGAAAACAAATATTAATCACCTCTAGCACTTCACACACAAAAGGCCCCGAGATGTAAGGGCAGGAGGGCCGGCGGAGAAGACGACACAGACTTCAATATGTAATGAAAAACTCCCGTAGGGGCCGTGGTGGGGCCGACACCTTATTGCGTGTGAATGTTTGTTTCTAGTGTTTGGAGGGTTGCATTTATACATGCAGGTGATGTTGAGTGGCTGGAGGGATCTATTCTCATTCATGATAATTCACCATTAAGTGTGTGCTTACATCTCTGAAGTGTATATGTTTCCACCGAGAGACTGAAAGGAAAGTCAAGATAGGGATAGAAAATGTGTGTGTGTGTAGCAGCGAAGGTAACTGCAATGTGTGTTTGTTTATTCTCTCCCTACTTGGCAACATGCTCCATCCACGCTCCTCTTCCTCCCACACATACCTCCCCCCACCCCCAGCCCTCGTCCATGAGGCATCTCACGAGTGGCAACGACGAACTCCACCTGGCATACTGGCGGCGCCGCCATCTGGTCGCGGCCAAGGCTCGCCATCGGGCCCACAGTCAGTACCCACAGTGCCAGTGTGGTATTGTTTAATGAGCGCATATGAGCAAACATTTGACTGCCAGGTGGCGTTTGCCGCCACGCCATGCCGACCATGCAGGGTTCTGCCATTGCCGTTCAAACCCGGGGGCATCAAAGGGGGCCTTGGATTTCCAAAGTAACTAAGCTATAATCCACCCCCTTATTGGTCCCATTCATATTGAAATACATGATCAGAGGAGCTGAGGAGGCCCTAATCTTGCCAATGAGCGGTCCGGCACAGCTGCAGGGATAAAGTCAGAGTATGAGACCACCAGTATATTAGAAAAACTCAGGCCTTGCTGATTGGATTAGGGGAGACGAGGGAGGGGGGGTGCCTCAGGGGTGAGGAAATGTCATCTCCCAGCATTGTGTGTGGCGTGATGATCTCGGTGTTGGCGTCCGAGGATCAGGAGGTGGGGCAGACACACTTTGTCCCGGGGTTCGGTGACCCGCAAAAGAGAAATTGGAGGGGCTGAGAGGAAGAATAGCGACAGCAAAA